ACGGTTTTTGGGAGGCTCCCCCAAACCGTAAACACGAGTTTTTGATGCATTTGAGAGTTTAAGACATGGTTTTGCATGCATGTTAGGATAAATAACTAGTTAGGAAGGATCACTTACCAATTTGGAGCTTGAAAGTGAAGATTCTTAAGAGAGTTCGATTTCTAGAGAGAGAGAGTAGAGAGAGAAAGTTCAAGTGTGGGAAAAGCTCAAATGGTGGTCACTCCACCCCTTTTGTATGCCTAGAGTTAGTGACCCGGTGGGAATACACCCAATACAGACATTAAACGGAGCTTAATACTTTACCCGGGTAAATAACCATTACCCGTATTAGTCGTAGTCTAGAAATCCTCAAAAGATTATTTAGAGTGTTTTTACTCAAATAAATATTTCGTTCTGACACATACGAAATTATAATAATAATTCTAAATGAATTATTAAATTTGAAAGTTAACGGAAAAACCCAAAATAAAATAAATTTTATTAACGGCATGGGTTATGTTAACGGAATATCTTTCAGGTTGTCACAGTCGAGTCAAGGCTTCGACTCGTCGAGTAGACCACTTAAGCCTCGCATCCAATCTGGCATCTACTCGACGAGTTAGGGCTACCAACTCGTCGGGCACCTCTTACAAAATGAATATTTTAATAGTTTAAATGCGTAGCAGGAACGGGACGTTACATAACTATTCTCCTTTTTAAGCAGGTAGCCAGCCTGATATGGCTTATTTTGAAGTTATTAAGCCTGATGTCATGTATTGTTTTTTTTTTCTAGGTTATATAGGTTGTTGTGGTTTACAAGCTAATTTGAATTTCTTTTTGGGAATCTAGTGATTTCGATAAATGATAGCACAGGTTAATAGTCGAATGTAAATACAAATGTGATCTTTAAATTAAGGTGCTAAATAGTACATAGCATATGAATCGAATTTTGCAATAAGTGAGACATTTGATATTTGAGTTTGTTGTGGTCTTATCAACTACTCTACTTAAGAGTTAAGAATTCAATTCAAAGTATGTATTCATTTTCCGTTAACTCTTACAGGTATACATATACAAGATAACATGTTCGGTTGTTATTTGTCGCTTACATTTCTATTATATTGTTTATTGCTAATATGTTTGTTTAAAAAGACAATTACTCTATTAAAAATAAGATATTAGATTTGTTGTATATTATTAAAATTTTTATTTAATCAGATTCTATTAAAAATAAGATATTAGATATGACTCGTGCTTGAATGTAAGTGATAACAACTAATTGCTTTTTTTAACAGTTTTTCTGCTTTTTTTTAATTGTTTTAGATGTCAAAAACGGATGACTATATTGAAGTGGAAGATGAGATGATTGAAGTTGACAACCCAAACAATGATCAGGTTCCACAAGAAAAAGAGAAAAAAACTAAAGAATTCAACCCAAGATCGAAAGTTTGGAAATAAATTTTAAAGGTATAAGGACGAAAAGGGTGTTCAAAGATGCAAATGTAAGCATTGTGGTGGCGGGAATTACAAGTGCGAATCAGGTGCTTATGGGACCAAAAATCTAGGTTATCATTTAACTAAATGTAAAGCTTACTTGGCTAAACTTTGTGGTGGGCAAAAACAACTAGCTTTCCAATATGGTGATGAAAACAATTTGTCAGCTTGGAAATTTAATCAAAATGAGAGTCGGAAAGCTCTAGCCCACATGTTGGTAGTTGACGAACTTCCTTTTAGCTTTGTACAAGGTGCGAGCTTTAGGTATTACAATAGTGTTACTCAACCATTGTTTAAAGTTCCATGTAGAAGTACAAGCACAATGAATGTCTACCAATTGTTTGTAGACGAAAAAGAAAAAATTTGTGACTTTATTAAAAAAATGTTGGTAGAATATGTTTAACCACTGATACGTGGACTTCTAAACAACAATCATGTTATATGTGTCTCACCACCCACTTTATTGATAACGAATGGAAATTGAAAAAAAAGTGTTGTGTTTTTCTTCTAAAGAGAGTCACCGTGGGGTTGATATTGGGAAAATGGTTGAGAAATGTTTAATGGAGTGGGAAATAGAAAATGTTTTCACAATTTCTGTTGACAATGCAAGTGCGAATGATGTGACAATTGACTTTTTGAAAAAAAGTTTTCAAAACTCCAACAAGTGTCTTCTAAATGGGAAATGGATGCACATTCGATGTGTTGCCCACATTTTAAATTTAGTGGTGCAAGATGTCATAAAAAAAGTTGATAAGGCGGTTGGGATAGTTCGATGGGCGGTTAAATGGATTAGGCAATCGCCTTCTAGAATTCATAAGTTTACCGAGTTTGCTAAGGTTGCTAATCCCGGTATAACAAAACACTTGAAGAGTGATGTGCCAACAAGATGGAACTATACTTACCATATGTTGGACATTACCCAAGCTTACGAAAAAACTTTTGAGAGATATGATCTTGAGGAATTTGATTTTCGGTACGAAATTGAAAAGGCGGGTTTGTCGATACCTTCATCAAGCGATTGGGAAAGGGTTAGGAATATATGTCGTTTTTTAAAACCTTTTCATGATGTTACTTTGAGGATTTCCGAGACACTTTATGTGACATCAAATACATGCATTAAAGATATATATTCCATTCGTAAACTCTTGGATGATACTATTTCCGATTCTAGTCTTTGTGATATTGCATTGGCCATGCAAATAAAGTTTGATAAGTATTTTGACGACATAGAAAAATGAATTTATTACTCTGCTTTGCTTTGATTCTTGATCCGAGGAACAAAGTAAAGTATTTGGTTATACTACTTGAGGATCGTTATGGAGAAAAGGGGGTGGATGCCAAAAAGAAATATATCATGGATTCTATGTATGAATTATATAATGATTATCTTAGAATTCATTCTCCAAGATATACTTCAAGTACTGCTGAGTCTACCACTTCATCATCGATACTAGGGAAACGCCAAAACCTGGATTTTATGGCACCTAATCCCCTAATGAGAAATAAACTAAGAGAAAAGATGAAGACAAACATAGTTGAATCAATTGGGGAGTTAGAAAAGTATTTGCAAGAAAGTGTTGAAGACGACTCCGAAATGTTTAGTATGCTAGATTGGTGGAAAGTGAATAGTCCAAGATTCCCGATTCTATCATTGATGGCAAGAGATGTGTTTGCCATTCCCGTCTCAACCGTGGCTTCGGAATCCGTTTTTAGCACTAGTGGGAGGGTGTTGGATCCGTTTAGGAGTTCTTGACTCCTAAGATTGTTGAAAGTTTAATTTGTACACAAGATTGGATTCGGGGTAGCATAAGTGACACAATCGATTATGAAAAAGATTGGGAAGAAAATCAACAAATTGACAAAGGTAATTGTTTATCGTTCATTAGTTTAATTATTATAAATTTAATATCTTTTCCTTTTAATACTAACATTATTTGACTTTTTTTTATATAGAATTGAGCAAGATGAAGTAGTGAAGGTGCAAGAAGACGAGTATATTTATGAATGTCTTTTGGAACTTGAATATGTAATGATTTTCTATGTTTTCTAGACGTAAGACGTGAGTTTTTTTTGGTAAATGCAAAATACATGCATATACATTGATATCAAGTAATTTAAATGGTTGACTTTGTTTGTTATTATTTCTTTATTAGATTTGATTAAATTGTTAAACGAATACTTGATATCTAAATATTATTGAGTAAAAAATCTCAATGTTCAAAGTTTAGCACGACATACTTATTTCATTAAATTTATTTTTAGGTGCCACTAAAAAATTTTTAAAAAAAATTAAAAAAAAAATCGGGTAATACCCGAATTACCATTACCCGACCCACTACCCGAATTACCCGAATTTAATTTGGGTCGGGTAACGGGTAATTATTTTAATATGAAAAACCCGAATTACCCGAAACCCGAAAATTTTACCCGATAACACCGCTAATTTTTGGGGTTTTAGCTTTAATAGTACAGGGATGTTTTCTGCCATAAGCCTAAAATATGTGGAACAACGTGTATCTTTTTTCGACACCAATTTCTTTATTTACATCTAAACACCCCCCGTCAAGAACTTCAACCACCACCGCGGATGCACTCCCTGCCCTAACCTGTTTTCACTGCTAGATTCCCGAATTGGAAAATCGGAGTTCTGTGCGATATATATGCATTTGAACTAGAAGAAGTATGCGATGTGAAATCAAACGAAGGAAGCATCGAAGAACAATCATATATATGCTTGTGGGAGAGATGAATTTTGGCAACTATATGTTTCAAAACAAAGTGAGCAACCGACTGGTTAAGTAGAACTCAGCGAGGATCGCGCACCTATTTTAGATACATCAGGTAGGTCAATTAAATATACGCTTAATTGTGCCCTAAGATCCCCGTTTTAGCTGATGTTTGGGACTTTTATGGAAGTAGAAACCCCATTTTTGATACATTTGCTGTTATAGTATCTGCTTGAAATCCTTGACTGTAAAAATCTATCTTAATATGGCTTTTGTTAAAAATATAACGCATTTGTTGTCGATATGTGTTGTTTTCTAATTTTGAGTTGGGATATTAAACCTTTCGCGGGGTTGTTTACTGCTGCACTGGAAAAGCTACATCACCTACATGTAGTAACTCTCTTTTGCTAATACTGCAGTGATACGAGTAAATATGGCAGCAACTCCCCAAAATGTTGAGATGGAAGCAGCAAAGTTCCTGCATAAGCTTATCCAGGAATCCACTGACGAGCCCACAAAATTGGCTACAAAACTGCATGTGGTATGTCACATGCATGATTGTCTTCACATTTTTGTCTTTCTGATTTTCATTTGAGTGGTTTTTTAAATCATTAATGGATATACCCAACTGGTTGTGCATATGCATAACTGCCAAAATTCCCTTGCTTTTCTAGGAGGGAATCTGCCTTGTCCAAGACAATTTGTTCCAGTCCAACCCAGTACTTGTTATAAAACTAATTTATTGGAGATGAAAAGAACATTTTATCAATGCTTATGCGCAGCACTTAGGAGTAAACATGTTGAATACCCTAAATGTTTTAATATCCAAGCTACAAGATACATGTTGTTTTGCACTTTCACATTTCAGTAGTGTGCTTGGACCACTTTGTATGGTGATCCAAGTTTTAAAAAAAGAACATTTAAACGCAGTTCTTATGCATTAAACAACAATTAATCTGAGAACTTTATGTATGCTTTACTTGGCTTGGGGGATATTAGCTTAGTTGGTAGAGCTCTAATTTTGCAAGTTATTGTTAAGGCTGTAGAGTCACAACTTCTGTTGTAGGGAATTATCATGTCAGCATTACAACACAAATGCTATATGCTATTAAATTAGGTGCACTTAACATTACACTTCAGATTCATAACAATTAACAAGTAGTATATTTTGTTGTCTAAGTTTAAATTTCTAAAAGGGAGGGTGATCTAGGGGACACTGTAAATAAACTATCTGATGTTTTGTTAGACATACAAATTTCTATGTGGGACCTACTGAGAATGATAACATCATCCCTTTCTTTTGCCTTGTATCTATAAGAATGTCAAACACTTTTCCACCAAAACTTTTATCTTGACACAAATTACTTATAAATGTTTTTTGTTTGTTATGTCTTGCTTTGTAACATTGTCTTGTCCTCTTATTTCTTTTCTTGGTTTCACAGATTTTGCAGCATATGAGATCCAGTGGAAAGGAAAATTCAATGCCATACCAAGTTATATCAAGGTAAGATCATCATCAACACCATTTTTAGATATTATAAATCCCACTTTTTATTCTGTCTGATGCTCTATTTTGATCTTCTGAAGGGCTATGGAGACAGTTATAAATCGACATGGTCTTGACATTGAGGCTTTAATGTCACAAAGACAACCGTTGACCAGTGGGAGTCAACCCGGAGATTCATCCTTATCCCAAATTGCAGGTTTGCAAATCATCTTGTTCTAGTAGTTAATTTTGTATTGTTTTAGCCTCTTCTATTTTTAGTTGTATTGTTCTTCTACAATTTACAAGGATATAAATTAAATTGCAGGTCCTTCACAACAAACTGCAGTGGAAAATGACTCCAAAAAACCTCTAACTACTGAAGACACAGCAAAAATTGCAACATTTTCAAGCAAACCGTTACATGGTCCTAGCAGTGCTGGTCATGATATCTATCAAGGATCTGCAAATCAACTTAACTGTAAGTACTAGAATTTGAAGTTCATGTAATTCTAAGTTTTGGTCAAATTTCTAGTGATTTTGTATGCTTAGAGTGTAGTATCTAAGTTTTTCTCTTTCTAATGGCTTCTGTTCCTATTGCTTTACATGGATTGAACCACACAGATAAGAGTTAGAGTGTATAGTTAGTGTAATATTGACCATAACCATGTCACTTTTTACAGCTATGAAGAGTCATGGATCAAATGCTGGTCTCTCTGGTTCATATGAATCATCAGAACCTGGGAACCCACTATCCATGCAGTTCAGCAATTCATATGATAACCAGACTGCTGCAATGTTGATGCATAAAACTCCAGCGGGAAAGGCATTGGATCATGAAGGAGGATTTTCAAATGTGATGGCAAATGCAAGCAAGACACTTCCAGTATGCTTTTTCTACCATTTTACCTCCTTAATGGAATCATATTTTTGTTCTGGTTGCTCTCATAAAGTAAGACCTTGTAGATATTGTGTTCTCATGAGTCATTATCTTCTTTTGACAGGGTGGCATCTCAAACAATGTTGCTGAAATGGGATTGCTTCGAAATGAAGCTTCAAGAGATACTGGAAAATTACCAATTGTACAGGCTTCTCCAGCTGGATCTTCCATGCCTTTTAAGGAACATCATTTAAAACAGCTCAGAGCTCAATGTCTTGTATTTTTAGCCTTCAGGTTGCTCTAATGAACACTCTTAATCCTTTCATTGTTCAATATCTGATTGTTTATTCTATTCCTACTTAACTTTAACCAACCATTTTTGACATACAGGAATAACTTAATGCCTAAAAAGTTGCATCTTGAGATTGCACTGGGGAACTTCTTTTCCAAGGAAGGTAACTGCTTTTTCCACATTTAACAAATTAATCTTTCACTATCTGAAAGACTATCATTCAGAAAACCATGTCTTGGCTGCTTTCTACAAAGTTAAGATATGCAGGCATGCTATGATTCTCATGTGCCCTTTGATTTTTACAGTGTTCAGTCCAAAATTGAAATATTTTTCAGTTTTGGTCCTTATTTCAAGGTTTCAGGGATCAAAGTCGATAGGAAGCCGTGAAATAAGGATCAAAGTTGAAAAAAAGGTTTCATTATTGGAGAAATCATAAAGAACATGGACTATATTCATAATTTACTCTATATTATTTCTACTTCTTTACTCTGAGGTTAAGTTATGAGATGCAATTGAAACATGTGCAAATAACAAGTGGTATTGCAGATACATCTAGCAAAGAACACATTGACCAAAAGGGAAAAGACCAATCTATTGGAGGCCAGAGCAGCAGTGGATTCATTTCAGAAATGAAAGAAGGCGAAAAACTCGACAAAATGATAGATAAAAATGAGCCACCTTATGGTCTCCCTGAACATGTGGAGGGAATGAGAAATACCATGATTCCAAGAAAAGCTGAGCCAGAAATGCCAGCCTTTGAAACAAAGGAACTACAAACATCTGCACTCAAAGTAGCACAATCAGACCCTACTAACATTCCACTACATGCTGATACCCAAGGAAATCGACTTGGGCATAATAGTCATTTGCCAAGCTGGAAGTCTCATTCAGGAATGGAAGGTGAAAGGCACATGGTGGTGGTGAAGAATGCTAATGTTCTTGAAAAGGATGTAATGCTTGGTGAGAATGAGAACTACCCTTCAATAAAAACTATAAAGATTCTACATTTTAAAGTTCTGTATTAAGAGACTTTGTTTATTGTAGCAGGAAACAATCGTGAGGGAGAAGATACTTCTGAACTAAGTACTTCACCAGCATCACCAAAGTATACCACCTCTGAAAAATGGATTGCAGATTGCAAAAAGAGAAAAGTTGCTGCTGATAATAACTGGAAAGCTAAAAAGATGAAAACAGAGCAAAGGATCTCGGTTTGTGTTGAGAAGTTAAAGGTTTGCTAATATTTTAAACTTTTCATTAATGTTTTAGTTGTTGGCTAAATCTACTTGTATCTATATGTTTCTAGGTTCATTTTTTTTTGACAATTGTTATGCAGGAAACAGTTAGTTCTTCTGAAGACATTTCTGCAAAAACCAGAAGTGTCATTGAGTTAAAAAAGCTTGAACTTTTGAATCTCCAGCGTCGACTGAGGAAGTAATTTCTTTTCTTTAGCTTGTTTATGAGCTTTTTTTTATTTTTTTATTTTTTTATCTTTAATATTTTTCCTGATTTGTATTCATTATATACTTGTTTTGTTGCAGTGATATACTGAATGATTTTTTTAGACCTATATCTAATGAGGTGGATCGCTTGAAATCAATCAAGAAACATAGGATAGGAAGAAGATCAAAGCAACTCGAGAGGTATGAACAGAAGATGAAGGAAGAGAGACAAAAAAGAATTCGAGAAAGACAAAAGGATTTCTTTGGTGAACTGGAATCACACAAGTATGTATTTTGCTATTTATAATCAGATTCCTTCAGATTCCAATTCCTTCCAAAAAAACATTCTGCCAACCAAACGCTCCTTAATCTTTTTCTCAACTTTTTTGAAGTTCTATAATGTGGTTCAATCACTGTTCTCCAGGGAAAGACTGGAAGATTTACATAAATATAGGAGAGAAAGGGCAAAGGGGTTTAACAAGTACGTAAGAGAGTTCCATAAAAGGAAAGAAAGACTTTATCGGGAGAAGATTGACAGAATCCAACGGGAAAAGATCAATCTTTTAAAAATCAATGATGTGGAGGGTTATCTTCGAATGGTTAAGGTGAGCTCTGATCTTATTAATACACAATTCAACAAACATCCGAATTCATAAACACAAATTTAAATTAAAATTGCTTTTATAGGATGCAAAATCGGATCGAGTGAAGCAACTATTGAAAGAGACCGAGAAGTATCTCCAGAAGCTTGGATCAAAGCTGAAAGAGGCAAAAGTTATCAGCAGAGCCTTTGAAGCAGATAATGGTCTAAATGATAACAGTGAATTTACTATTGAGAATGAAGACGAAACAGACCAGGCCAAGGTATATTCTATCTTTTGTTACTTTACACTCTTATAACCTTTGTTTGCCTTTAAAGTTTAAATATGTTATTAATAAATATTTTGGCTTTTACAGCATTACATGGAGAGCAATGAAAAGTACTATTTAATGGCTCATAGGTACTTCATTAACTTTTGTATTTCCTTGTTTTCCCTTTTGTAGTCCATCACTTTTTCTTGCATTAATGTCAAATAGGGCTAAATGCAAGAAATAGCAATGTTATTGCTCTTGGCTTTAATCAATTATTTTATTTTTTCAAACTCATCACCAGTTCAATGTTGCAGTGTCAAAGAACTTGTAGCAGAGCAGCCAGCAACTCTCATCGGTGGAAAATTGCGAGAGTAAGTAATAAGTTGCAGAAGCATCTTTTATAAAAACAATCGACAAATTTTATTTGAGAAATTGAATTTTTTTGTCATCAGATTCTTTCTTTAATCTTATATTTATATAAATATATTGTTTGTCTTTAGGTATCAGATGAATGGATTACGATGGTTACTGTCACTATACAACAACCATTTGAATGGAATTCTAGCAGATGAAATGGGCCTGGGGAAAACTGTTCAGGTAGTATAAGGCTCCTTTAAAATCATTTTTTTTTTGTTTACATTTTACCCTTTTATGAGTAAGATTTGTTGTTTGTGTAGGTTATATCTTTACTGTGTTACCTAATGGAAAATAAAAATGATAGAGGGCCATTCTTGGTGGTTGTACCTTCCTCTGTTCTACCTGGATGGGAGTCAGAAATTAACTTCTGGGCTCCAACCATTAACAAAATTGTCTATTCTGGACATCCTGAGGAGCGAAGGAAGTTATTCAAGTATGAGATTTGAATTTGAATTTGAATTTTGTTTTTAAAACTTTTGTAAGTTCTTTAATATTACAGCTTTATTTGCATCACTGCAGGGAAAAGATTGTTCAGCAAAAGTTCAATGTTCTTTTAACAACCTACGAGTATCTCATGAACAAGCATGATAGGCCAAAACTGAGCAAGATACATTGGCATTATATTATAATTGATGAAGGGCATCGCATCAAAAATGCTTCTTGCAAGTTAAATGCTGAGTTGAAGCATTATAATAGCTCTCACAGATTGCTTTTGACTGGAACTCCTTTGCAGGTTTGAGTATGATTCTAGGCATCTTTTAGGGTTAAATGCAAGAAAAAGCAACCTACTTTCACTGATTTCTATTACAACATTGTATTTTGAAGAATTTACCAATTACAGCAATGTAATCCAAACACAAATACAAGTAATTTTTACTTCTATAATTGGTAGATTTTTCAACATAACGTCTAAATAGGAAAAAAAAAGCTGTAATTGAGTAGACTTTTCAAATTACAATGCCTTAATAAGAAAAAACCCGAAAGTACAGTGCTTTGTAACAGAAATAAATGAAAGTAGGAGGCTATAATAAACAAAAAATGGAAGTACATTGCTATATCTTGTATCTATCCCTATAATTATTGAACAATTCACATAATTGAACAATTCTTTGTACTAAATCTGTGTTACTTATCTAAATTTGCAGAACAATCTTGAGGAACTGTGGGCATTGCTTAACTTTCTGTTGCCAAATATTTTTAATTCAGCTGAGGATTTTTCTCAGTGGTTCAACAAACCTTTTGAAAGTAATGCAGATAACTCCCTTGAAGAAGTGAGCATTATATTTAATCAATCTCTACACATTCTTTTTTCATTAATTCTTACTTAACATGAGGTTCTGCTTATTATGCACAGGCTTTGCTCTCTGAGGAGGAGAATCTATTAATCATAAATCGTCTTCACCAAGTTCTCAGACCATTTGTTCTTAGGAGACTGAAACACAAGGTCTGTTTTATCCCTACAGAAACGATATTAAAGGATGTTAATGTTGTATTTTTTTTCCTGCAAATGATATATATATAATTTTACTTTGATTTGATAGGTTGAAAATGAGTTGCCTGAAAAGATAGAGAGACTTGTAAGATGCGAATCTTCTGCATATCAGAAGATATTGATGCAGAGAGTAGAAGACAATATGGGTGCATTTGGTGCTACCAAGGTTTATTTTTTGCAATAACTTTGTTTTAGGTGTCAGCTTTTTCCTGTCTGGAGCATGATATTCATCCTCATTTCAAAGCACAAATTAAAATTTCAATTTTTTTTGAGACTTAATGAATAATACTCGAGTTTTGAAGCAAGAATACTATAAGAAATGTATTGTTTACATGAATTCACCAAGGCATTGGAAAATAAATTTTGTAAAATGACCAAAATAGTCTTTATTGGTTTTTGTAATCTCTTTATTGTTTTATAAACATGATCATTTACCAGTTTTTGTTTATTTATTTTTTAATTTATGAAGCAATAAACACATTTACTAGAAATAAAATACACAAATTTGTCATTGACACTAATCTGTTAACTTTTCATTCCAATTCCTTTGGATTCCTTTAGAACCCATGATCCAAACAGGCAAACAGGGCATAAATCATAATAAAATTAAGCTGCTTTCAGGTTGAAATTAGGTTTTTAAGGTATCTTTCCTCTAACTTTTATCTTTCCACCAGAGTCGATCAGTGCACAATTCTGTTGTTGAGCTACGAAATATATGCAATCATCCTTACCTCAGCCAACTTCATACAGAACAGGTTGGTTTTCTCTTTCTTTCTTCTATTCTCAATGCAAACTCATTGTGGGGTTCTTCATTTCTTCCCAGGAGTTGTTGATGATGAATGCTGTTTTGTTTTAATTTCAGGTCCATGATTTCATTCCCAAGCATTTTCTTCCTAATGTGATAAGATTTTGTGGGAAGCTTGAGATGTTAGATCGACTACTACCCAAACTAAAAGCTACAGATCATCGGGTATAAATATAATATTATATTCCCACTGAATTTGTTCTGAGTCCAGTAATTTACCTTAATTTTCCCTCTGTAATTATATTTTTGTTTTGGGTTAAATGCAAGAAATAGAATTGAAAAACTTGTAATATTATGTCAGTTTATCATTTTAGATGCTTATATTGGAAGTACAAAATGCAGGTTCTTCTGTTTTCAACAATGACTAGGCTGCTTGATGTGATGGAGGATTATTTATATTACAAACAGTACAAGTACCTTCGCCTAGATGGACATACAAGTGGTGGTGATCGTGGGTCCTTAATTGACCAGTTTAACAAACCTGGATCTCCATTTTTCATATTCCTTCTCAGGTAATCAACATTTTGGTTTTATTTAAAAAAAAAAAATTCTATTTCTTTTTCCATATATCCTTTTTTATTTCATAGTATACGTGCTGGAGGTGTTGGAGTGAATCTTCAAGCTGCTGATACAGTTATCATTTTCGACACGGATTGGAACCCACAGGCAATATATACTTAAAAAAAAGAATTTTAATTTAATAGTAATTTGAATTTTCTCTTATGCTTAATGGCTTTATGTCTATGTGTGTGGTTAGGTTGATCTGCAAGCACAGGCTAGAGCTCACAGAATTGGTCAGAAGAAGGAGGTGCTTGTTCTTCGGTTAGAAACGGTATATTCACCTCACATTCACATCACTACTTGGGAATCTTTTAGGTTAACATGTCTGCTTTTAAAGTACATTTCATCTCATTAAAAATGTGTTGATGTAAGGTTAAATCGGTTGAAGAACAAGTTAGAGCTTCAGCTGAGCACAAACTTGGAGTTGCTAATCAGAGCATTACTGCTGGTTTCTTTGACAATAACACAAGGTAGTTCATGTTACTTTTTCGTGTGTGCTATTCACAATGAAAATATATATGTAGTTTTACACACACAAACACACACACACACACACACACATGAAATGAACACATTTCTTATGTGGTTGATTGGATCATAGTGCTGAAGACCGAAGAGAATACTTGGAGGCCTTGCTGCGTGAATGTAAGAAAGAAGAAGCTGCTCCTGTTTTGAATGATGATGGTCTTAATGATCTTATAGCCAGGAGGTTAGCATATTACATTAATATTCTCAAGATTGACACCATAATATAGAACACAGTAAAATCAAACTAACCAAACTAATAACAGGATGAACAACCAAACAGATCAATCACCTTGGCTGGAATATGTAAATTATCAACAAACCAGATAGAATATTAGCAGTAGCAATCCTCTCTTTTTTGTTTGTAACCATCATATTAGTAGATGTGAAACAGAAGGGAAATCTGTAGACCAATCTGAGGAATCAGATGAGGAAAATGATTGTGAAAATTCTATGATGAAGTTTGGTTATAGAGAAGAATAAAAGACCTAATTGTTTTTCTAAAATGAAATCATATATAGGCAAATATAAGCATCTATAAACTCTAATAGAGTAACCTTCATAAATACAATAAATACAATCAATACAATAAAGGAAACACTATCTTGATATTCTTCAATAATACAATAAATAATTACAACGAAGGAAACAAAATCTTCGTGATATTCTTCACATACCAAAATAGTTGAACAAAATATTGCCATGACATACCATAATTATTAAGAGAAAAAAGGAAAAGAAACAAAGTGAGGAAGTGAATTATTTGATATAACAAGATGCAAAAAGGCTTATCCTAACTGAAATTCGTAACATAAAGCTTGTCGAAAGGGTATCCTTACTCATAACCTGCTAATTATATAATTTATGTGTATTCGTGATGTGGAAATGTGGTAAAAAATTGACCATTTACTTTGTTGAGCACTAGGTAAAAATCTTTTTGCATGCATTCATCTGTTGACAAAACATAAGCATCCAAATGAAAATCGGTTCTTATTAAACCATTATGATTGACAACTTTTTGAAATGCCATTTATTGTATGTGTGGCCAACTGATGTTAGTTAAATAGTCGAGTAACTTTGATTTTCAGAAATTTCAATCTTAAATATGCTGTGGTATTTATTCATACTTGTAATTTTGATGATGGCAGTGAGTCTGAAATTGACGTATTTGAGGAACTCGATAAAAAAAGGCAGGAAGAAGAGATGGTATACCCTTTTTACATCGAATGCTCTTCAATCTATATTTTAATTTAACCTAAAAAAAGGCATCCTGCATTTGTCTGTTGAGTTTGATTAATAATAATATATAAAATTGTGCAGGCTCTGTGGAAACAGGTGGTATCAGAACAAGGGGGGACAAGTGATGAAGTCACACCTCCCCTTCCTTCTAGACTTGTAACAGAAGATGAAATGAAATCATTCTGTGAAGCTATGAAGGCAATTGAAGTTCCAAAACCAGTTGTTATACCTGGCTATGGAGGTAAAAGGAAGAGTGAGCTTGGGAACTTGGACACACATAATTATGGAAGAGGAAAACGAGCAAGAGAGGTTTGTTCTCCTCAACGTATATATTTTGGTGCATTTTGTTGTTTGAATCCCTGTTATAATTTTTGTTATTACTTTTACTTAGGTGAGATCTTATGAGGAGCAATGGACAGAAGATGAATTTGAGAAAATGTGTCAAGTTGAAGCACCAGAGTCACCAAACGCCACCAAGGAAGAAGGGGACTTGGCTGGTGGTGTCAGTGTCACAACTACTGAATCTGGCATGGTTACTGGTGCAGAAGGCACAGGGTTGCCAAACATACAACACCCAATGCAACCTCCTCCACCTGCAGCTTTCTCAGTTCAACAAATCGGGGCAAGTCCACCAATGAAACGGGGTCGTGGAAGGCCGCCTAAAAAGAAACTCCCTGGAATTGGAGTTCCACCTCCAATGGCGGCTCTTCAGGTTTCTCCATTACCTGTTCCTCCACCTCTTCATCCGATTGGTTTACAGATTGCTCCTCCTCCTCCTACTGTTGCTACCCCTTCTGTTCCCAAGTCAACCCCCTCTGATGGTGGTCAGTCAACTGTTACTTTGCCTTCTGCTACCCTGTCTGTGCCACCTGGTTTTCAGCCACCAGCCAGTCATCCTCCTGGCTTTCAACCGACAGTCGCTCCTCCTCCTGGTTATAAACCACTCACCTCCCCCCCTCCGGGCTATCAGCCAATCACCACCACACCTCCTGGTTATCAACCAATAGCCACACCCACAGCCACAGCCACTCCTCCACCCCCTGGATTCCAACCCAAAATCACTCCACCTCCTCCTCAGGCCACCACCATCACTCCTTTGTCAACCTCTACCCCCCCTCCTAGTTCTCAACCAACCACCACCATGACTCCTCCCAACCAGAATATCCCCACTCCTAGCACTCTTTCAACCCCTACATTACCCGTTTCAATCCCAGTGTTCTCTCATGACTCACAGTCTGCTATATCTCCATCAGTGACACCTGGGAGTGGTAGGGGTAGGGGTAGAGGTAGGGGTCGGGGTCGGGGTAGACCACGAGGTAGAGGTAGAGGTAGAGGCCGTGGTCAAATAATTGGAAGTAGTGGAGTTGATGAGGCTGAGGCTGAGGCTGCACCTGAGCCACAGCCACAACCTCAACATACAGTTACAAAGCAACATCATGTGGTATTAGCTATGCCAGGTCTTCGTACATCTTCTCTAATCAACATGTCAGAAACACTTCCCTCCACCACCAATGAGCCTCTAGTTTCCACCTCAACTGCTGTCAGTAACACTCCAGCAGCAGCTCCAGGGATTGTTAGTATACCTGCTGTAACAGTAACACCACCCTCTTCTGAAACTTCTAAATCTGATATACCAATACCAGAACCATCTGTCCCTGTTGAATCTCTACCTACATCTTCTACTTTGCCGGAAGTCAGTCAGGCTGTGCCGGATACTGATGTGGGGGCTACACCGACACCACTTCCAGTTTCTGTTGATTCTCAGGTCACCGAGCTTCAAACTACGAGTGCTCAGGCAGTCGCTCCAGTTACCACTGAGCTTGAAACAGCCACCCCAGTTGCCACCGGGGTTGAAAATTTGAGTTCTTCGGCAGCCACCACGACATCACCACTGCCTCCGGTTTCTGTTGATGCTCAGGCCTCTGAGCTTGGAACTTTGAGTTCTCCAGCAGCCACCTTAGTTGGTACTCCGGAACCCACCAAACTTGTCACCGCTCCAGTTGGTACTCCGGCAGCCACCCCACTTGTCACCACTCCAGTTAGTACTCCGGCAGCCGCCCCACTTGTTGGTACTCCGGCGGCCACCCCACTTGTCACCACCTCAGTTGGTACTCCAGCGGCCACTCCACTTGTCACCACTCCAGTTGATATTCCATCAGCCACCCCAGTTAGTACTCCGGCAGCCACTCCACTTGTTGGTACTCCGGTAGCTGCCCCAGCTAGTACTCCGGCAGCCACCCCACTTGTCACCACCTCAGTCGGTACTCCGGCGGCCACTCCAGTTGGTATTCCATCAGCCACCCCAGTTAGTACTCCGGCAGCCACCCCAGCTAGTACTCCGGCAGCCACCCCACTTGTTGATACTCCAGCAGTCACCCCAATTGAATCTCCTTCTGAATCTGCACCGAAACAAGGTAGAGGAAGAGGAAGGAAGGTTCAAAGTAGAGCGGAGGCACCGCGTCGCAGGGAAAGGAGGAAACTGGACACAGTAGAAGCTCAGGAGCAAAAACCTAATGAACCACCACAGAAGAGGACACGAGCCTCTTCTAGTAGAAAAACTGTTGCTACAAGAAGTATGTTAAGAAATGAAGCTCAGAAGATGATGGACATGGATGATGATCAGTCCACCCAAGCTGCTTCTAAGTTAGCAGAAACACCACTCAAAGATTCCCCAGATGTGAAACAACAGTCAAGCAATGTAGCTGACAGCATAAATCTCCATGAGGAGAAGATTGAGGAACAAAATGACATTTCAGTGACAACTGAATCACAATCAAAGACTGATGATGCTGTTGACGATACCAAGTCCAAGGAAGAATCGGATTCCAAAAAACTAATGGAGGTAATCTCTTTCTCTCTCTCATTCTATATGTATGTATAACTGTTATGTGTTTTGAGGTTGCTCTCACTTGTGTAGCTAATATGATTAATGATTTGTGCAGGTTGAAAGCGAGTCAAAATCAGAGACTCAGTCTAAACCCTCTGAAGAAGTTGAGATTAATCAGCCTCAAAAAGATGAGGTGTTGAAGGCAGAAACAGAGTGCAGTGCTTCAGAAGATGGTGGCAAGGTTAATAGAATGCATTTAATACATATATGTAATAATAATATCTATTTGGTCTTAGTCGTTTGATTTATGGGTTTACAGAATGAAGAGAAAGATCCTGTAATGAAGGATGGAGACACGAATCCTGCTGCTGTTGAAGAAAATGTGCAGATTGAAACTGAAGCCACTGCCTCTAAAGATGTGGAGGATACCAACAAGACATCACCACAGGTTCATGTCAAAAGCACTTCATTTATTTAGTTTTTAAGGCTCATGATGTTCAGAAAGAAATTCCCAAAAAGATTATATTACATAAAGTGGTGAATAGCATATTCATTTTGCAGAGTAAATCATGTGAAGAGGTGAAGGATGGTTCTGAAGGAGAAACCAAACATGAGAAAGAGAACCTGGGAGATGTATGTTAGTTAGTTGTGGTCATTTATTTATATACTAAGTCATAATTATAATCCTTTGTTTCTGTTTCAGGGCAATGGCATTGAAACAAATAACTCTGAAAACGTTGAGGATGCTTCCCAGAAAGAAAGTGAATCCAGTGTGATTAAGGAGGATGTGTCTCAAGCTGAAGCACTTCCTGTGATTACAGTAAGCCATCCTTCACCATTAATTGAATAAGAATTAAGAATTAAGAATTAGCACCTAATTGTGGTTCCTGTTTATTTTTTAATTGGTTTTCTTCTACCAATGTGTATTGTGTAGGGGGATAAAGAAGAAGAGCAAGAGAAATCTTGTGAAAAGATGGAGACGGAAGCCAAACCTTGTGAAGATGATGACAATGATAACAAGAAGCAGGAGGGAGATGATGCCCAAATTGAAACACCAAATGAATCAGAGAAAGAGAAAGAGAAACAAGAAGGTTCCACTGAAAGTGGTCTGAATAAATCGGGGACAACACAGGAAGCAGAGGAACAAAATGATCCAACAATTAAAACACAACAAGAACAAGACCAAGACCAAGACCAAAATGATGACTAGTAGGCTAAGGCTAAGGCTAAACTATATTATTATTATTATTATTATTATTATTATTATATGAACAAAAAGATGAAAGTGTTTGTTAGGTGTGTGTAATTATAATTATAGCTGTTTAGCTTGCTTGTATTATTGTACCAGTCTCATTTTGGCATCATCTTATCAAGGTTAAATATTTATATCAACATCATAATTGATATCTATATCTACTACGTCATAAATTAGTTTTCTATTTAGGTAAATGGATCCTTTATTTCATTAAAACTTATAAATTTATAATACACGTTCTTAATCTCATCGGTTTCTCAAATGAACCCTTTGCTAAGGTGTTAGGAGATCCTTTGTTGATCATCAAAATATGGGTCATGTACGTAAAACATAATTTCTATTTCTATTTGTAAAATATTTCTACACTTTTTCCTCTTTTCATCATGATAGTTTTTGACGATTTAGTTGGCATTGAAAACAAAAGTCAACAGTATCCATCAATATGCGGCATTTCTCTCTAACTTTACCCCTTTCTGTTGAAATAAGAAAATGTGGTCGCTATCGCTACAACCAAAATCGACAATGCTTAAGGTTTATTCCCCTTTAAAGATGGATCCCTCCGACATTAGGATCTTAACAATAGCCAAAGTCAAAGGGTCAAAGAATATTTAGAAACAATGCAATGTTGGATCCATTATTGCCAATTACCATACAACAAAATTTTCATATTAATATACCAAAGCTTTTAATTATTTTTTTATTTTTTTTTATGTTTTTAAACTAAAAACATTACAAACCAACTGTCTGTAACACCCATATGTGTCGACTATTACAATTTTCAAAAACTTTCCTTTCTACATCACCTATATATATATATATATATATATATATATATATATATAT